TCAAGCAAAAAGATGTACCTATATATGATGCCGTGTGTGTTTGTGGAATTTGTTTCATCATCCGAAGAAGTTGATTGTATTTGTCTATGCTAATAATTAGTGAAGACAGTTGGTTTCTAGTAGGAATAGTGGTAACCTGATGTGCTAAAGAATTACCATTTTCGTCCTTGTTGTTCGTATTAGGACACCTATGTAGTTTCCAACAATTTTCTCGAGTGTGATTTTTCCTTTTGCAATAATCACAGTATACCCTACTTTTCCCGGTTTTGCTGGATCCAATCCCATTTGACTAGTTTACCCCATTTGACCCATTTGGCCCAATTTGGCTCGTTTGGCCTGTTTGACCCCATATGTGACGTGGCAGCACAAGAGCCATTGGATCTTATGAAAGAGATAACAATTATTGACCGTTGGATTATGAGATCACATCTGAGCCCTTCATTGCCTCATATGAAAAGGAGCCATTTTCAGGGTTTGCAAACCCTAGCTGCTAATTCCCAAAATTTCCTAAAGTCTTCTTTGAATTCAAAGAAGACAATTGCTCCATTACTGCACCGGCAAAGGCCATAACATCCCAAGATCGAGGAACTAGCACACAATGTTGGCTTTTGTCTTGTGCGACCAACTAGAAGATGTAGCAAAAATCCAACAATGAGGACGCAACCAAGATTTGTGTTATGACAGCAAGAAATGCCTCATTGAGGCCGAGAAGAAAACGACTTAGCCGTTCCTGGTCATGAATCTGGTTAAATTGTTGGAGGGTTGTCGGTGGTCCTTCGAGTTTCTCTTTGGCGTCATCAGGCTCATGCCATGTGGTAGAGAGCTTATTGAAATACGTGGTCATTGTTGAGTTTCCTTGAGTTATTTTGGCAAGTTGCTACTGAAGAGTGTAGAATTTAGCAAGATCTAGTTTGCCATACATGTCTCGGACATTTTTCCATATTTCTACAGTGATTTCAGTCTGTGGTAGTCTGGCCACCAACTCCGAGGATAGGCATTTGGTCAACCATGATCATACCCAGCATGTTACACCTCTTTCAATAATGGTGAAAAGGTGAATTGAGTGGTGGTAGTGGGATTGTGCCATCTATGAAACCCTCCTTATCCTTGGCAACAAGAGCTCGCCAGAAATCATGAGCTCAAGTTGAATAATTGTCTGATCCAATCAATGGTTGTTTAATAAGGGTGATTTTTAGCCCATCTAATGCTGGTGAAATCAAAGCGTCGCCAAGTTCAAGGCAATGGCCGACGGCTGGAATCATTTGGGAAGTGAACAAGTAGGGATTTGTATCTGTTTGCTGTGATGGATCTGAGTTGTAACTTGGTATACCATGTGGTATAGGAATGGGTTTGGGCCAGTAGTTGGATGTGGACCAGTGTGTGGGTTTGGGCCAATAGTTAGGTTTGGGCTGGTGGTTGTGTTTGATGTGTGTAGGCTAGGATTTGGGTTTAGGCTATTATGTGGAATTAGGCTTGTATTGCTGATAGTTGGGTTTGGGCCGTTGGTTGTGTTTGATGTGGGTAGGCCAGGATTTGGATTTGGGTCATTGTGTGGATTTTGTGGGGGTTCATTATAGGGTTGTAAGGGCGAGATCCGGTTAGTAGTGTTTGGGTTTTGATTGGTTGCCATCTGGATGGTTTGAGTGTTGTAGTTTTTGGTTGATCTATTAAGACAATATGATCAGAAAATAGATTTCTTATCGCATATCTGTTTGCTTTTGTAGGGACAAAACATAAATTTTTTTTTTTAATTTTGATTGAGTATTTGTTTGCCTTTGTAGGGACAGAAGAGAATTAGAAGAGCAAAAGCTAGAAAAGCTTTGATACCATGTCAGAATGTGATAAAGAGACAAGAGTGACAAAGACTAAAAGGAAATGCTAGAGTATGCCAAGAGAGAAAGAAAAAGAGAAGAATAATTACTTTATTCTATATTATATTTCTTACATGTATTCTATCCAATTTATACAAAATATGTAAGTACAAGAGTGGAAAATATCTTGTAATGAATGTACAATTAAACAAAGTCAGGAAACTAAGTAGAGTTAAGGAACAATCTCAACATGATCAATCAGGGCGTGATTACTGCATTCCATCACCAAACTCTATTTTCTTATCTCCACTATTCTTAGGGCCCGTTTGGATGGGGTTAATATTACATAACTGGGGTAATATTTTTTAAATTGAGCATATGACAATGTTTGGTTGGTTTGTAAAAAATTATTCCCAAAATCTTTTATGACAAACAATGGCATTTCGAGGGTAAGTTGTCGGGAATATTAATACCAGGTTTTTTTTTGGGGGGGGGGGGGGGGGGGGGGGGGGCTGTTATTAAAACTTACCCAGGGTAACTAATTTTGTTTCCCATATTGTCCCTAAACAGTTGAGCATTTGGTCCAAATTAGTCTATATTTGTAAGATTTACAAAAAACCCAAATCACTCATGTAGACCCTTTTGTCCTCACTTTTTAAATTTTCTGGATACATTGCCTTGTTATTGTCATTATTTACAAAAATGTCATTGTACCCAAAACTAGCCACCACCACCACCAAAATACATTGTTGTATCCCATCACAGAAGTCGGCAAGGTTCATGGCAAAAAACTTTTTTCTTAGCAATTTCTAAGGTGAAAATGAATGGATACATGTTTTTCAAGAACTAGCGAAAATGGATTTCAATTTGGTCCAATCCTTGCACCAAAGGAAATTGTTCTGTTACTTGATTAATTATGCGTTACCATCACAGATTTTACCACTCCAATTAATATGCATATAACATGTGACATATTAGATGGTGGCTACAACAAAAATGGCCTACGGTAACATGCAAAAAGTGTTACCGTAGGTAATTGTAGCATTATAAGGATGCTGTGATAGCCCATGTTACTAAAATGTAGACAATGATACACTTTTTGCATGTTGCCAATCATTTCAGTAACTGATACAAAATGCTATTGTTAAGTATATTGTGGCACTAATTCATAGTTACAAATGATTTTTGGTAACACTACATAAATGCTATAAATAACTTTTCTGTAACATTCTTAACCTGTTACAGTTTAATTTTTTGTAACATTTTTACAATGTTATAGATTGGTTTTTCTTAACAAAATACATTGTTGTATCCCTATCACAGAAGCTTGGCAAGGTTCATGGCAAAAAACTTTTTTCTTAGCAATTTCGAAGGTGAAAATGAATGGATACATGTTTTCAAGAACTAGCGAAAATGGATTTCAATTTGGTCCAATCCTTGCACCAAAGGGAAATTGTTCTGTTACTGATTAATTATGCGTTACCATCACAGATTTTACCACTCCAATTAATATGCATATAAACATGTGACATATTAGATGGTGGCTACAACAAAAATGGCCTACGGTAACATGCAAAAAGTGTTACCGTAGGTAATTGGTAGCATTTAAAGGATGCTGTGATAGCCCATGTTACTAAAATGTAGACAATGGTAACACTTTTTGCATGTTGCCAATCATTTCAGTAACTGATACAAAATGCTATTGTTAAGTATATTGTGGCACTAATTCATAGTTACAAATGATTTTTGGTAACACTACATAAATGCTATAAATAACTTTTCTGTAACATTCTTAACCTGTTACAGTTTAATTTTTTGTAACATTTTTACAATATTAGAGATTGGTTTTTCTTAACATTTTTAAAATGCTACAGAAGAGTTTTTAATAACATGTTAAAAGTGTTACCAAAGTATCATTCATTGTATTTAGTAGCTGTTACAAAATTATTTTCCATTACAATTTGAAAATGCTATCAATGTATCGTTATAGCATATATACAAACTGTTAGAGTTGTTATTTTAATAATACAAATTATTAACAATGATACACTAATTTTTCAAAGAACATTTCATTGATGGTGAACCTCCATATACAAAAAGTTCGCATATCTGCCTAATAAATACGCACCCACATCCTTTACATCCATAAAATCTAATACAAAAAGCTTCATATATCATATCTTATTTTGTAACGTATAAACCTTCATATACAAAAAACTTTATATATGCCTAACAAATATGCATCAATCATTTTTACATTATAATACCTAGATGATTGGAAAATTAACTATTAACAATAGTTAATACTTTCCCATCATTCAAAAAATTCCAACAACAAAAACCATCATGCATAACATCTTTCATTCCCAATTGTACTTTATCAATTGTGCATTCGGCTGGTTGCACCATGGCAGATCTGAATGTGGTGACCCCTCTGGGCAGCATGAATTTCCAAGCACTCACTGTTAAAAGACAAAGATAACAAATTTTTAAGATACAGGTTAAAAGAGTGAACTGCAAAATGAATTAAGAGTCTTTGTGTATATTTAAGTACAACTTACCTGCAACCATAAACAAGAATAACATGCAACAGATGTGCAATGCCTTTGTTCAAACTTTTCCAGGCATCTAATACTTCATAAGCAACAGGGACCCATTGAGGAATAAGTATTCCATTCTCTGGAGGCTTCAGGGGCTTCTCTATAGCCTTTCTGCAAGTTTTTCGTCCTTTCTTGCAGCCCGCGTCATGTTCTCTATTGGAATGAGAAAAGGCTTCTTCTTTCTCTTAGGTAGTACAGGTGGAAGATCCGCATTTTGGGGATTTTTTGTTTCTTTACAGTTTGATAATGTCTTGATCTCTGGCTAGCACATAGGAATATCCTACAACTTGTTGACTCAACTTTTTGAAGCTGCCCAAGCCTAAACTGCATGAAGAATGAAATTGAAGTATGAGCTTCTAAAACAATTATCCATAAAGAATGTCACCAAGGACAAAACACAAACTTACAGATTCACGGTAGTTGCATAAAATTTTCTCATGCAAATATTCATAAATTTAACTAGCATTGTTTTCCACACAAAAAAACAAAGATTGGCAAATCATTTTATACATCTCATATTAACAGATTTACTTCCAATATAATATATGATTAAAATAAAAAACCCAATAGAACATAATCAAGAGAACATAACCTGCAACCATAGAGTGTATGAGCTAGTAGCTGAGAGTTGAGGCCTCAACTCCATGGCACTGTGCTGAACACCTATGAAGTGAAGCAATGTCAAAAATTATTTTACATAATAATGACACTTGTTTTTAGCTCATTTTGGTAATCTAGCTTACACCAACACTTTTAAAGTAGAAATACCATTTGCAAACTAGCACCTGATGATTGTTTTATTTTTCATAAGGGTGCTAAAATTTTCATTTACACCTAGTATAATATGTGTGATACCTATCTTTGCGCCAAATGAAAATATGCTTTCATTGCCCTCATCCCCTAAACAGTTTAATCCTCGATAACAAAATAAAAAGAAAGTAACTAGCTTACCCTTTTGAGATGGATTCCATGCAGAAGGCAGAGCTGGTGGTGTCCAGAGCATTTGTTTCCAAGAGTATCTGAATTGCCTCACACTTCCTTAAATAAAAACTAAATGGTGCAAATGTAAAGTCAGAATCAAAAAATTGAAGCAGGGCTTTATAATTAATGATGTGGGTTTTTCATGAGGTAAAGGTGATGAAGCATAACACTTAAATAGAGTACAAATTTACTGTTAATATATAGGTCAAGGTAGCTCGTAACCAAACTCGCATGTCCAAATGCCCAAGCAAATGAAACATAATCATTTTAATCCTTGAAGGTTCAAATTCCAATGTGGTGTGAGTGAGATTAAATAGAAGATATATTCATAATGGAAGAGTATGTAAGTGGTTCAATATACCAAATTAGTGCACCAAACTCTAAAATGATTGCTATAAGTGTCAATAGTTTGTTATGAACCTGCTCAACGAAATCAAAGAAAGATTGCATTAAATGCATCACCTAAGTTTATTGCTTCTAAAGAAAAATGCATATATTAAAATTTCAAACTACCGAATGTTTTTAATCAACCCAAGCCGCAATAAGGTAGCAGCAATGTGATGCTCAGTTCCAACATTCACAAAGGAGATCATGGAGAAATTTAAACTGTAATGATGCAGAAATCAAGAGATCTTTCTGTTTTCCTTTTTCCTTCATCTAATTATAAATATTTTGAAAACGCAAAGTGGAGATGGTTAGATGATATCTCAACCAAATAATATAACTATCACTAGATCCTAACATCCCTACCTCTAAAACCCCAGGCTTAAAAAACAAAACAAAGCAAAACACCTAGTGTACAGTGGGAATTGGCCACTTCATCAATGACAAAATCAAAAGATTTTGAACAGCTATCTATAATGTAAACTATGAAAAGAGTATAAAAAATCTCACCCACTTCTGTATATACTCTACTCCTAATCACCATAAACTTACACATTCACGCCTACACATACAAGACTTCAATATTCAGTTCGTTAAACCAACATGGAGAATATAAGCTAAAAATCCAAAAAACAACAATACTGCTTAACTATATTTCTAAATATTAAATAAATTACCACACCCCAACATATAAGAAAATAAAATACAAACCCCCCAAGTGAAAGTAAATTCCCAAATGTGAATGTGATCCCGAACTTGATTGGATTAAAGAAAACAAGCATTGACTGTGATATGAAGAAAGATAACAGTGAAAAAGAGTAATAACATTAAAAGCCACAAAAAAATTGTGATAATTTAAACGAAGTACTCACCAGTAGGGTACAAAATAAACCTTATGATAAGCATATGGCAAAACCATACAACCTCTGTTTAATGAGAGAGAAATTGGATACAAACTAGTAACATGTATAACAAAATGTTAAGCATGGTATTTTTTCTATTGAACTCGTTATTAAAATGAAAATGTTCTGCAGGAAGTCGTTGGCTTTATCAATTTCAAGTTTCAACCAAGCAGCAAACTGATTTTAATTCTTAAAATCACCCACAAAGACAGAGTATATAGGTTATTTTGAAAAATAATGAAAACGTGAATGGGAAATTATGTACTCTACAAAACCTTACCTGTTACAGTCGCTGAAATCAAAGATGATCGACGATTGGAAGATGAACGAATGTTGACGATGATCGATTGGTCGAATATGAAAGATTCAAAGAGGATCGAAGAAAAGACTAAAGAGATGGAAGAACGAAGATTCAAGTTCAAGAATGAAGAAGTCTGCGTCGTCAGTGAGAAGAGAACGAACAAAGAAGAGAATGAGATGAGTTAGCGAATAAGTTTTAGGTTTTTACCTTTCCAACATTTTTGACCCGGTTTTTCGTTACCATTTGGGCCCTACACGAATGAAAAGTGACAAAGTAAACCCCAAATACTGTCAATTTGACCCCTAAACAATAAAAATGAGACAAAATCAACCTCAATTCATGTTGGCGGGAAATAATATTTTTTTTCCCGGTAAATATTTGGGTTTATGGTAACACTTATAAATTGTTACTATATTTTTATTATATGGTAACATTATAAAAAATCTACTATATTATTAGGTCTATTGTAACATTTTAAAAATGCTATTGTAGTTCCTATATTAGTAACATTTTACAAAAAAGAGTTACCATTGATACAAAATGTGTTATAAAAAGTTAAGTGTTACATATAAAAATTGTTATCGTAACATTTTAAGATCAAGTGTTACCATAGATAGTCTACAGTAACACTTTAAGGAAAAATGTTACTGTCCAATGTTACCATAGGCCATTTTTGTTGTAGAGTCGGTTTGGCTAAGAAGTTGGATTTTGCAAGAGAACAACCGCTTAAATGGTATATTTGGTCCATGGCCTGCCTCACGGATGCAAACTTTTCGTGGCAAAGAATTGAGCTTACAAAACCCATATCCTTCATCTACATTATTAATGATATTTTTGATGTTTATGGGACACTTGATGAACTCACTATTTTTACAGAAATTGTTAACAGGTATGCATTTATCAATAGAGCGTAACTAATATTCTTTTTTAATTACTTATCCCAATAATTTGATTTGCAAAACCAATGCTTGTAGATGGGATCATGCGGCTATTGATCAACTGCCAGACTACATGAAGATATGTTTTAAGGTTCTTGATGATATCACTAATGAAATCAGCTACAAGGTGTACAAGGAGCATGGCTTTAACCCTGTGCACTCACTAAGGAAAGCGGTGCGTATAAACAAATACCAAACTACCTAATTTATGCTTTTAATTTTTGAGAAAATTTAATCCTCTAATAGTTGCAAGATAATGTTGATTGCTACAGTGGTCCAGTTTGTGCAACGCATTTCTTTGTTGAAGCAAAATGGTTTGCTTCTGAGAACATGCCTAAGGCTGAAGAATACTTGAAGGATATTTCAACTGTTTCAAGAGGTTAGATTTGAAAACAGCATCGTTATCAAGGGAAATGCTTTGTTTTTCATAATTGGTTGACAATCAGCCACGTAGAAGAAGGTTTGGCTTGCCTGTTCCTGAAAACTTTTCTGGGACAATTGAAATATAAGAGGAAACAGAAGAAAAAGCTGGGGAAGAAAAAGCCATTGATTTATATTTACCAAAATATTTCTTGAGCTTTTGAAATATATTTGAGGATATGAAAGAAAAAGTGATCCAAATTTATAGGATTCATTTCCATTACTCTACAAATGACCATGTTATGCACGTTGAACTACACAGTATACGAGCGAACTGAAACATGTTTTGGTTGTCTGATTTGATGATGTTTCCTAATTATAACATGAGTGCCTATTGGTTAATCAGTTACATTGGTTTAGTTAGAAGTTAGTTCAGCAGTTTGTCTAGTAAAAGTTAAGTTAGTTAAACTACAACAGTTAGTAAGTCTAGTTAATTCATTTTTGTATTATTTAGTTTTACTATAGCTAAATCCAACTGTAAGCTGCTTAAATACCTAGAATGTAATCGAAGGTACTAGACTTGAATAACAAAGATAGTTTTTTTTCCCTTTTCTCTCTATTAAGAGTGTGCAAAAAAATCCGTTATCCGATATGGATCCGGTATCCAGTCCGATCCGATCCGATCCAAAAAAACGGGATAACTGAAAATCCAAATTAGGATTCGAATCGCATTTTAGAGATATTTGAATTTTCGGATCGGATACTGGTTTAGGGCCTTTGGAAAACCGGATATCCGACCAGATTTGGTTTTCTTAACAGCCCAAAAAAAACCCAAATAATTTTCCCCCATTTAACATTACATGGTAAATCCCTAAACAAAGAGTCTAACATATTCAATCCCCAAACACTACAAAATTTCTCTTTTCCAATACAAATTCCCTACAGCACCAAGTTCGTCTTCTCCATCTCCAATTTCTTTTGTTTCTTTTCGCTAACTACAGTGATTGCAAAGTGCTTACAGACCCAGTTCGTCGTCTTCTCCAATTTCTTTCTGGGAAATTCTTCCTAGCCGGATAAATTCATTTGTTAACTCAAAATTGGTGAATTGATTTTGTGTTTGTGAGGTCGCTGTCGAGTCGATTGTCACGACCACAAAATTAACAAACCTAATCACCTAGCTAGTGGTAAGAAGGGTTAAATCCTTAGGGAGCGTGACTAATGACTTGACACATATTTGAGTAAACTAAATGAAGATGGCAAATGAATGATTAAACTAGGAAAATTGATAGCTAAAATTGAAGAACTTAATTAGAAACAAACTAAGTGCAATGATAAAATGCTTGAAATTAAAACTAATTAAGACTTTATAATAAAAACTTTGCCGCTACAGTTTTGGTTTGACATGCGACCAACTCTCACAATTCTCCTCCACACTCTATGATCCCCTAAACCTATAAGGCAAGGTAAACACACGAAATCGCTTTCCGGTACTCTAAGTATAATCTATCTTGTCTCACCTGATGACTCAAGTTCGATTGGTTAGAGACTATCATTGAATATCAACAAATGCTACAAGACAAAACCACTAGTTGGTATGTCACTAACACATACAACATGTTAATGCGTAACATCCAATCAACCAACTTCACAATAAACACAACAAAAGTAGAAATGGCATTAAATGCGAACACAACTCAATCACAATCGATGCGAAGTAATGAAAAGCAATATTTATCATTTAATTATCTCAAACCAACGTTTATCATTCAGTAAGTTCTATGTAAACATTTAATCGCAATGAACAATCATATTCACCACAAATTATGCACAAACTACATTAAAGTATCGAAATCAAACATGAAATGAAAACAAATATAGTTCAATACACAATACTACCGAATGTCCGACGATGGGGCTCATCTAACTAGTCGAGAGCTGATGAGGAGAGTGGTGGAGTCAATCTTGATCTCGCCTATGCCGTAACAAACAACCGGAAGCTCAACCGCTCATGGGTGTGTCGACGAAGGCTGGAGCAATGGAAACGAAGCTGGTCATGGCAAAGAGCGCAGAATCGACAATGAGATGATGCGAAGAAGGAGCAGAAATGACTAACGGACAACCCTAAATACGAACCGTGGAAACTCGCTGGAATACATTAGTTTTTGGGCAAAAGGTGGAGGAAATGGGATTCGAAGGTACTGATGGAAAGCTCACGAGCTGCGGGGTCCAAGTGTGTGGCTGAGAGGACCAATTGATGTCAGAAAAGGCACGAAATCACGTCTGGAAGTCGAAGAGGTGTAGCGACGGAAGATGAAAAGTCACGACGATTTGCGGCGATCTTTCACGAAAAAGGGCATGTGAGGGTGTTGAAAGGCCAGAAATGAGGAGATCGGTGCTGGGGAAGGTGAATTGGTGCCAGAGAAGCTCAAACGTCATCAGAATATGAAGAGGCATGGCTGTGGAATGCATAATGTTGTCGAAAAACGAAGGAATCATGGTGGAGGTGATGGTGGAACGTGAACCAATGCTTGGGGAAGTTAAATGGTTGCTGGAGAGTTGTCGAAATTCGATGAGGTGAGCTTGGGTTTAATGGGAGGTGGCTGACTCCTGTTCTGGAACTATTCATCTTCTTTTATACGAAGTCTGTTAAATTTTAGTTCAGTCCCTACATGAATGAAAACTGATAAAATAAATCCCTTAAAATATGACAGTTTACCACCTGAACATAATAAAGGAGACAAATTCAGACCTAATCAATAAATCACAACCTAATATCGACTCACAACAACTCAAAAATCATTCCAAACATGCACAAATTGTATGGAAAAAATTAAAATGTGATTTTCCATTAATAATTTCATAATTTCTTCAATTGTCTCAGTATAAATTCAATTTAATTACACATAGGGTATCTTTATCACCAAAATAGAGTCACTTTCATAACTCTAACACACTCTTCAACTTACTCTTTGCTTGTCCTCAAGTAAAGTAAAATGAACTTCTTCAACATTCTCACAAAACCATACCCAACCATATTCATCAACAACCAAAACATTCATCAAAAGGTGAAGTGAAGACTTTGAACACAACAAGTGTAACACCCAAATCAAGGTACGTAATTTTACTTATGCCCTAATACCCTTAGTTGGATTTCTTTGAAGTTACCTTAGACAAATGTGAAGAAAATTCCTTAAAAGTTCATGAGGGGTAAAATAGTCTTTTTGCTCCTAATTAGATGAAAAAATGGGAAGTGAAAGGAAGCAAAATAATGTGAAGAAGATAATAAAAATGAGGGTATTTTAGTAATTGACTAAAGGATATAGATGAAATTTCATAGAAAGTGCAAGGGCAAAATGGGAATACATGTTTTATATTATTTGATATAAGGCTTTATTTGAAGAAACCCTTACACACCTTCAGCCCTTGTTCATGCCACCTTTACCCCATTTTCTCTCAATTTTCTTCACTAAATTTCAAAGGAAAATCATAGGATTTTGTTTTTATTTTTTGAGATTTTCAATCCTAAAGCATCCTAAGGTAAGATTCTAGCAAAAGGAGTGTGATTAAACTTTAAAGTTTTAAATTCTTATGGTTTTTATATAATCTAGGTCCAAGAGGAAGAGATTTAGAGCAAAAGGGAAGTGATCTCACATATTCAAGGTAAGTAAACCTAAATTGAGCCTTGATTTGAGCCAGACTTGTGTTGAATGAATTTTTGCATGTTTGTATGGTATGAGAGAATTATTGGCTGTTTTTTATGGTTAATGATGTATAAATTCTAGCCATGAGAAGTAGTGTACGGTTATGTGATGATTTGGTGAAGTTGTGGAAGATTTTGTGTTGAAATTTTTAGAGTATAGAGAAGTGATGAATTCGGCCAGGTTTGATACTACAGTTAGTGAGTTTTTGGCTCACAATTTGGTTGAATTCGAGAGTTGTGGAAGCGTAGTCAGCATGGAAGTTGTATGTGCACATGAAGTGTTTAATGAAAATCCAAAGAGAAAATGCATGCATGAGTTGGCTAAACCCTAATGAAGAAATGGTTAGAGAAAGGCGCGAATTGAAGTAGGAAGATTATGTATGGGCTTAACCAAGTGTAAATGTTAGTATTCAAGGGTGCATATTGTTTTGCCAAAATTTAGAATATCACTTGGTCATGTTAGTTCCATGAGAGAAATGGCCCTTAGTGTTTGGTTCTAGTTACTTGAACCTTTCCTACTTTTCGAATAGCACATGAAAGTATTAGAAAGGAATTGTAAGTTAAAGTGTTCTTTTGATATGGTAATTGTGATGGTAGAGAATGGTAGAATATGTCATGACATACCATTATGCCATAATGAATTTGCAAGTTTATATATGTGAATTCGGAAAGCATATTAAAGAATGGGCTTGATCATGCATATTTTGTGTACATGATATATATGTATAGCCTCGATTTAGTAAATGAGAATATGAAAGAATATGTTAGCAAAGAATGAGAAAGAAAGAAAAGAAAATGGCTAATAATTTTCTTTTAAGCTAACATGCAAGTATGTATATTTTCTCATTTACTAAAGAATGCAAGTGTAGAATTTCCATAGCTTGGAAATTCATGTTGAAATGTGTATAGTATCTCTTTCTATTCTCTTTCTACAACATACTATGATATAAGGTTTTTGCGATGGGGAACCCGTGAGTGACAGAGATGCCCACATACACGCTGCCACGAGCGACATCAGCAGAGAGATACAATATTTATACAGTCTGTGAGCGACATCACTAAGAAAGGACTGTACCCACTCACATGCCCGAAGGGCATGCGACGAAAGGCACACATACCAAAGGGACATGTGAACATGGTCTTTTCCTGGTCTTTGGGGGCAACTGGTACTTGGTTATATCCAAAATAGTCATCCAAAAACTAATAGAAAGTCTGTCCAACAAGTTTTTCTAGGATTTG